AACATCACATGGAGAAATCCCATTGAACCAGGGAGATGCTGCGTTCAGGGACCACGATAGAAACCCCCTGCCTGCTCTTCGACCCCCAAAAGAAAGTGTGCACACATCTCCAAAGTCAACAGATTTATTTCCTTTAGCACTGAAGTTGTTCACAGTAACATCACGAGGGAATACATTGCCAGTGGTTTATCCTGCAGAGTCCGTTCAGTGTGATTCCCCCCGTAGAAAAAGGGGAACGCGGACAATGGAAGGTATTGCTTTAATTTGTACTCTCTTGTAAACCCAGCGATCTGCAGAGAGCTCCCTCTTTGAGAGAATGAAAGGAGGATGCATTGCACGGTTACTGCGTGTGTTCACAGTAATCAAAAAGGGTGGAACAAATAAATAATAAAGAAAAAATAAAACACGTAAATAACTTAAATACATAAATAAAGAGAAAAAAGGGACAGGAGAACAATCCCAACGACGACATGCAAAGAAAAGACGAATGCTGAACATGCAAACAACCGCACGAGGTCAACGCTTTTTAAATACGCCGTCAGAAAATTATTTACAGATGAGTGTTTGTTTGTTTGGGGGGGGGGGGGGGGGGGGGGGCGACAATTATCAACAAAGGGTTCGTTCCTCTCAAAGAGGCTAAATCTACATTCTTAAATTACGGTAAATCATTTTTCAGAAACGTATATTACAGATTTCTCGTCAGAAACAAAAAGATAATAATTTAGACATGAGAAAAATATCCTTAAATAATTTGACGGTAAGAAACATTCTCTATCATATAAATAACTGAGAATACATTAAATAATAATACAAAAAATGACAATCAAGTACAAAAATATACACAGCAGTTCAATATTGTAAAAATTATAATCAAATAAAAAAATGCAACAGATTCTGACTCACTTGTCAAAAGTGCAAAAGGAAACAGAGACGAGGCCCGGTCATAACAGCAACAAGGGGAACTTTATTCATTTTAATTTAATGTATCTGTCTGGAAGCTAACATGTGTTGGCATTATTTAGTCGAAATACCCAGAGCTAATCTATTTTATTTTTACTGCGATCTTTACTAACCCTAATACTACTTTTCTTATCAAAGAAGAGTTATTGATGCGATAATCAATCCGTTTTTTTAAAGAAATATTCGTACAAAGGCAGCAAGTAACACCAACAATAAGTAGTAATATTCGGTCTAAAAAAATACAGAAAATGTGAAACAAATCCAAAACCCATTTGGGGTTTTAAAATGTCCAAGAAAAGTACATTTCTTGTTTCATCAGAAGAAAACCCAATATGTATTTACTATATTATGAAAAGCAGAACATATTCATAATTGAGGGGCTGCAAACTTCTCCATTAAAATGACTAGTTATTTTCAATCAATGCACCTCTAATTTGTACCACCAACTCTTGTCTCCTATGTGTCTACAAAACAAAACAAATCTCTGTTTTTACTGCAACACAAGTTACATAAAACTTGAGGAACTTAAGAAAAATCTGCCTCCATTTCGGCTCTACATTCACACAAATATCAGATCTATAAGATGGCTTTTTATCGATCAACGACGTAAATCCATGTCTCTAAACTTGACTGTAAAAATGTTAAACGCTGTTGTGACCGAGCCTTTTACAGGAATACAAAACAAAATATGGCAACACAACTCTAAAAACATAATGTCACAACTACACTTTTTATACATACGGAACATTATTTAATCTGTACAACAGAATAGATCATTCATTTTGTAATATCACCCCTCCCCCCACCACCCTTTCTATCATACTCTAATGGGCGACTTTTTTATCCCATTTTTACAGAAGAGAAGATCCTGCCGTTCACAAAGACATTAAAAATAATTACAATCCAGCCAGCGTCCGTCTGTCCGTCCGTCTCCACTTCTCATTACATCCCGCAGAGAAGTTAGTGTTGGAGTACATACAGTAAGCGTGTTTCTATCTATGTACATGTGGGAGAATCAGGAGGAAGAGAAAGCAGGAGAGGGGATGTGTGTGTAGACAAACATCACTGTCTTAAGGCTTTTTTCTTCTTCTTACAACTCCGATGAGATGTGTCTATTGCTGTGTCTCAATATAGATACTTCAATTAGTCCACTGCCATATGGAAAACTGAGTAAATGCTCAGTCTGTGAATTTCAACCGTGAAGTGTCTCAAATCTCACTTGGCTTCTGTTCCTTCACCGGATATCCGCTGTTAGCTAGCTGGCTAAGTAGCAACGCTATCGTTCGCTGTACCAACACTGTCTCAATTAGGATTCTTTCCTAAATACACTGCATGTCGTACACTTTAAACCGAGTAGCGTTGACGTTTATCGCACATGGCTTGTGTTTTGCCACTGTTTGCTAGCTAGCTAGAGACGACCGTTCGCGGTACCAACACTGTTTTTCAATTTAAATGTGTTCCTAAGCACACTTCCATGTTGTACACTGTGAACACTTGTGCAGTGTGTGAATTTCGACAGTGTAGTGTTGTTTCAAATCACAAACAGCTGCTGCCACTGGACATGACGATTGCTGCTGTTAGCTAGCTAGCAATACTAGCGTTCGATGTAGCAACAGACTGCTACGTTCACCCAATACAATTAACTGGCTTCTTTTGGACACCGATATAGTGCGACGCTAATTTAATAGTCCAAACCCACATGTATACATTATATTTGTATAGTGCACAATAGAGTGGTGCAGGAATGAGTCCTAACACCCTGAAAGGAGTCAGCAATTTAGCACTTCCTGTTCCCTTGAAGTCAATGGTTTCCTGAATTTGTTTTTGTTTGTTATCCTGAAATAAGGTCTGTGGTTAACACAAGCTGAAGAGATTTGAAAGTGTAACGTTTCTGACATAAAATACGTCAATAAATACCCCACTGCAGAATCAAAAACTACGGTTGCTAACAAGTGACTAAATGAGACGACTAAACGTCATGTGACCTCGCTGTAGTTCCTTTATACAGGTATATGTAGTGCCTTAATGTCATCTTTTTACTGCAACAATCACAAAGTGTTGTTAATATGTGGAGATTAACCGAACAAAGCGTGTAAATATCATAAACGTTTGTTTGACACAGAGATTATTTTCTGCAATCATCAAAAATCCAATGGAGAAATCCCATTGAACCAGGGAGATGATGCCTTCAGGGTCAAACACAGAAATAGGACATCACTGCACCACTCTACTGTTCACCATCCAGGTATCACAGTGCGTTTAGCATTAATTTGAAGTTGGACACACTTATGCACTCAGAACAGCACATCTAATTACAGAAGTATGCAATTTGAGACACAGCATCTGTTTGGTCTCACTCTACTGATGGGTTAGAATAAAGAGGGGGGAGTGAAAAGTGAAATGGGGGAGGGGAAAAGAGGCGTCTTTTCTCCAGACTTCAGGCGGCGGGTGGTGTCGAGGAGCCGCCGAGGTTAATAGTTATTATGGATGATCCCTGGTGGCAGAGACAAGTCAAGCCATCACACACTTGAGGAGGGTTACACACACCCCCCGAAAAAAGACCCCCAGAGAGGAAGGGACAACAAAGCTACATTTGCTACTTATTGTAAAATACTGATCAGCCATTCCCATTATACAGTACAAAATGTATAGGCAAAAATTGTGTGTTTTCACTCCGAGCTATCAGCTTTTCTCTAGTCATGCAAGGCTACCGATCCTTAAGGTTGTTCCTGTGTCCTGTTGCTGTCGGCCATCTTTGTTTTGTCTTTCCCGGGGGGGCATTTAGAGTCATTGGGCGGGGGTGTGGGCTTGCTGCCGGGGGCATGCTTGGCGGGGGAGCTAGGCGTGTCGGGGGACGCTTGTTGGATGTTCTTCTCGTCTGAAAAAAGCTGTTTAATTACGTCAAAGAAGTTACTCAACGGGCTGCCTACACAGACGGGAAGAAAAGAAAAAACAGAGAGAGAGAGAGAGAGAGAGAGAGAGAGAGAGAGAGAGAGAGAGAGAGAGAGAGAGAGAGAGAGAGAGAGAACAAACAACAGATGAGCAATGGGGTTAACATGAGGAAGAGGAAGAGGTGATGGAGGGATGAGAGGAGGAAGAGGAGCCGGAGGAAAGGAGACTCTTCAGCCGAGGGAAGGTTGTACGGTTAAAGGGAGGAGGTGAGAAAATGTTAAAAAACAATTTTGTATTATTTTTTCTAAAGGGCAAAGATGTTTGTAATATATGGAAGCCCATTTCTGCCAATGTGAGGGAAAACAGATCCTGATGGTCATTTTAGTGAGAGGTTCCCTTCAAAAAAATACTTTAAATGTCCAAATAAAGACGTAGGACCTCAAAATAACATCTTTGTATTGATAAATAATGACTGAGAATCTCTGACTTAACATCTCACAATAATGAGTGACCATAACTTAAACATAATATCTAATCATTCTAAGTTATACCTCAAGTTAAAGAAAAAAAACCATTATATCAAAATGATCAACTTAGTATATGCAAAAATAATAGGGAACTTTAAAATAATGACTTAGAATTTCTAAATATTAAGTTATTTTAACTTTTATAAGTCTTTACTTTATTTTGAGATACTTAGTTTTTGAGAATGAGAAACTTTCTTGAAAATAAATCCTATTTCCTCAAATTAATGACAACAATGATTGACTTCATATCTAAAATAATGACTTTGTATAAGACAACTATTCAAAATAACTACTTAGTAACTTAAAAAAATGACTTAGTATCTAAAAAATAATGGTTATTTTAGTTTAATGGTCTTACCATGGTCTTATTTTAAAGAAAAGCTTTCATTAAAATAACT